TTATAGTAAGTGTGTTTGTGAGTGAAGGAATGATATACAAAGCTGTGCACAAATATGTTTATATTTTTAAGTGTGAATGTTAAGAAGAAGTTAGGGTAGAATGTATCAGGATCAATATTTAAACCATCACGAACCACACTCCATACCAGTAAGTGGCGGTAATGCTACTAACAGTTTGTTGCCAACCGCCATAAAACTCGACAAGAAGAAGAAGAAGAATCGCGTTGCATAGGCGCGTGTTTGTGTCACCGCATATGAGCGCCGCTGATTGGCCAGTCGGAGCGGAGGGCGTGACACGGCGGCAGCGTGCATTCGCCTGTGTGACACAATTACAACAACTTTGAGCCGCTGCTTGGGGAAGTTTGAGAGCGTCTGAAAGTAGCCTGTCCCTCCGAGCCGACTTCACATCAGCGCCATGCTGGAACCGGAGCTGTGCCGCGCGCCCGCCTCTCTCCCACAATGAGGGCCGCGGAGGAGAAGGTGAAAGGAGCGTTTCCTTGAGGAATCGGAAGAATCGCGCTACGCCCCGTTTTAATCCTGGATCGGTGCGCGGTGGTTCCGCCCGGAGCCGCTCGGCCCCCCTCCCGGACTCTCCCCATGAAGTCTAGCGGGGTGTCGCCGGCGGCCGCTGCCCGGAGCCTCTGCGCTGCTGACGATGAGAAAATGGCGTCTGGAAAAGCGACTGAAATCGAGGAGGACTTTCCGAAGCTAACGGCGCAGGAGGAGCAGAGCCTGGTCGGAGCTGACAGGTGAGGAGGAGAACCAGCGGCGCAGCCATGCCTCCTCCTCCTCCTCCTCTGAATAACCGTGTCTGCTCTCCTCTGCTTGCAGTTCACTGTTTGGATTTCACGGGCTTCAAGAAGATGGCGCCAGAACGAAGGCCTTGCTGATGAAGGTATGCCGCTGTTCCTGCTCCCCCTCCTGGAAGCGGAGCTCAGACCTGCTCCTCATGGAGGGAGGAAGGGAGGAGGGGAGCTGGCCTCCTCCTCCATCCAGCAGAGGGGGGGTGCATGCATGGCTCCAGCATGGAGCAGCGGTGGAGGCTCCAATATGTCCCTCATAGCTCCATCCCTCCGCCGGGAAATGATCCTCTGTTTACCGGCTGCTCCGCTCCGCCTCTGGGAGGGAGGTTCGGTTCCAGGTCCGCCGGGCAGTTCGGTCCGGAACCCACCGCCGGGCTGTGCGTCAGCTCCCTGGGTTAGCATGTAGCCGCTAACCGTCCAGCGGTTCGCGCCCGTTTGAACCGCAGCTTTGACACTTTGGCCATGATTTTAAAGTTCTTCACTTCCGGCTGCTTTTTGTCGCCTAAGATGGCGGAAAGGGAAGAAAATTAGAATCAAATGTTGCTGCGCTAGCTAGCTAGCTGCGGTGCTAGCCTCCTCTGGCAGGGAGAGGATCCCCGCGCTGATTGGTCAGCATCCTCACCGGGCGCGTGCCTCATCGGTCCGTTTAACCGCCTGTTCGGTTCGGAGGGTCGCCGCTGCAGGCTGAGGGAGGTTCGGTCCAAAGAGCTCCACCAGCTGGGCTCTCAGTCCCACTGATGTCTGACATGAAGCACATTTACTGCATCAAATGAGGCTCCATCACAATAAAAGGCTGATTGATACAGTAGATGGTTTTTATTTCCAAAGCTTTTATCTGACAGGCGGCTGGAACTGATGGAATGTTTTAATGAGCTTAAAACCTGAACATCATCATCATCATCATCATCTCCTTAAGCATGGATCCATTCAGCCTGGGGTCTGATGGAGACCTTAACCCTGTTCATCCTCTGTCTCTAAAGCCTGTTTATGCTCAGAAACCAGGTGTTCTGCCAGGAGGCCTCTGATTGGTCAGTTCTGCATCCACTCTGTGTATTTCCTGTTTGGTCCCTAATGGCAGAAACTCTGGCTGTAGTGCCGTCCACAGCGCCAGGCTCACCTCGGACACCATCCCAGACACCGTGCAGGGCGCTAGTTTGTAGCTCTGTGCGACGGTTTGCACCGGAAGCCAAAACACGCAGCGCCACGGCCGGTCTTTGGGGAACACTTTCTGGGGGAACTGTGTGTCGCCCGGCGTTGGATGAGGGGTTGTAGACGGCGAACAAGCTCATCAAACCAACACACACCCACAATCCTAGCTAGTTCCTGATTGGCCCTCTGGCGTTGTGGGGTGGAATAACAGTGCAGACCACGCTTCAATATTGGGCATAAATCAAACATATCTGCAACACACTCCTGCAGGAGGATAACCAGGCCTTAAGTCCCAAACCAGTCCCTGACCACTAACCTACCATTGGCGCGTTTCCCCGCTGGGTTTGCCAGATTGACTGTCATTCTAAATCACCTAGTAGGTAGGGCCAGTGGAACCTTCAGCCTTTAAACAGGCGTACACTGTGTGTCGTCTTCTTTTTTTTTTTTTTTTTACTTTTTCGGGCTGATTCTCCAGTCATGGAGAATTTTCAGCCTCCTCAAGCGTGCTGTGACATGTAGCATACAGGGGGTAAGGAGGGGCGATCAGCCTCCAACGACCGCCTCCCCATCAGGAGTGGTAAGGTCGGGAGAAAATCAAGCATGATTGAAATGCTGTCGTCCTCCTGAGGTGTTGGTGGGTCAATCCTGCTGCTGAAGACGAGCTACCAGAACCTCCAGCACTGCATGGGCTAACAAGGAAGTTCTTCTTCTTCCAAACTGATGATTCCGAGTAGCGCCATCTCACTGTGGAGCTGAGTCCTACCTGGTTTTTAGACGTACAGTGTGAGCAGGTAGATCACATCAGAGCGTCGGGTCGCACGGTGTGAGAATAAACTTCATCAGCTGTGAACTTTAAACCCTGCGTTATGGTTGTACAGTTTGAGCTGCAGCTGCGTGCAACGATTGTTTAAAACAATAAAAACGCAGTTTTTGCCTGGCTTTGAATGGCGAGTTTGCGTCAGTGCAGAATGGCTGTAAATTGGCAGCAGGTGTAACGGTGAACTAGCAGTGGAGGAAACGCATGCGTTCAAATCTCAGTTCCACCGGTTTATTGCAGCTTTGAGGAAAAACGTAACTAATTCCCAAAAGTTAGTCTTTGAAATACTTTAATCTGACCGCATACATTTGAAAGGGGCAAGTGTTTGATTTAGTTACCCTGCACCACGGAGCTACAGCCTGGGGCATCAGTGTTACCATAGCAACGACTACTGGTGACCCAGAACTTTCCATGGGGTTCTGTCGGTGGAAGGCTGGTGACCCGGAACTTGCTTTTAATCTTGGAACTAAACAGTTTATTGTTCTGCAGCTGAGAGGAAGCGGCTGGATCAGCTGATCAGGAAGGCCAGCTGTGATTGGATGCCCTCTGGACGGATCCTGAATGAACATCTCTGGTGGATATATGGAGCGATATTTGTGTCTTTGGTTTGAGGGCAGGAACCAATCTGAGCATGCAGTGAGACAACACATGCACGCTCAAAACCGGTCTGGCGCGCGCTCAACTGAAAAACTTCTCAACACACTGTCATGGCGCTCAGTTCCATCTCTGTTGCAGGTGGAGCGCGTGCAGGACGGATCCAAGCACGCGCTCCACCTGCTCTCTCTGCAGTCAACACCAGCTGTGCGCTCGACTCTCTCTGCGCTTGCTAATTCCTAAATGTGTGTAAACATGGCGGTTGGCAAACAACTGGATTGGGATTGAAACCGATGCATCCTACTGTCTGCTGACTGAATGATTGTTTTAATGAATATAAGCTGAACTAGAATCAGAGCAAATTAAACTTCTTAATGGAACAATTTCTTCAATCCATTTTAAGGCCAATATGATCACCAACATTTCTCCTTTGGAGGCTGAATTCCATCACTGATTCTTTTACCCGATTTAAAATTAAATTCTGTAAATAAAACAAAGCACCATTCCTAATATTGGAATATTTTGAAGCATCCCTAAAAATCTTACAATATCTAAAATATTTTTATCTAAATATTGTTGAACCATATTTGAATCTGAAATATCCTCCTAATTTGTCTGTCTAAACAGCAAAATGAAATCCATATCAATAGCAGGCAAAAGGAGATGGAAGAGGTGATGATCTAATAACTGTTTTACTGACTTTTATTCAAGATAATTCAAGATATTTTATAGTACTATCTGCTGTCCTTTAAATTGAATGCTGACCACAGAACTAAAAGAGTTGTTTGATTTCCTGATTGTGTTTATTTTTTTTCATTTAGCCAGATGTAGTATTTGGAACTAATACTTTGATTGGATGAAAAAAAGCGGGGCGTGATTGGCTGATTGGTTTATTTACATACTTTATGAATTCGCGAGCGCAGAGCTGGAGTCAAGCGCACAGCTGGTGTTGAGCGCGGAGAGAGCAGGTGGAGCGCATGCAGGACGGATCTAAGCACGCGCAGAGATGGAACTGAGCGCGACCACAGTGTGTTGAGAAGAGTTTTTCGGTTTTGAGCGTGCAGGTGTTGTCTCACTGCGGTCAAACCGAAGACACAAATATCGCTCCATATGGATAATGTCCCCCCCCCAATGCTGGTTCAGCTGGTGCTGAACTGGAGAGCTCCTTCATTGAGTTGGCTGCAAGTTATGACCACTGAGCTCTATGGCTATGACGCACATTATTTTTAAAATTTATTTATTATACAAATGTTTGCAGCATTGGAAAACATATTTAATTTTTGTTTGACCTCCTGCACACCATCTTAAAAAAAAAAAAAAAAAAAAAAAATCGATTTTCATAAATTTTTGATAAAGCTCCAGGGGGACGCTAAGGAGCGGTTGGTTGCCGACCCCCGCTCTAGAACCACCACTGTTCCCAACAACCTCAACCAGTTCTTCCATTCATGCTGATTCTGCTCAGTTTCTACCTTAGTCAGTTAAATAACCTGCTGTTTTCATTCTGCACGTCTCTGATGTTGCTGCTATTTTCAAACATCCATTTGAAGTAAATTGACCCCCATTAAATTGACCCCCACCAAGGGAGGAGGAGAGACAGCCTCGGGGAAGTCCCCCAGCCACCGCAATGCCGGAGCTGCGGGGACAAGTCCGCAGGCCCTGCCGGCAGCCACCCCGAAGTCAATCCGCCCCTGGGCCCCAGGGATCCAAGGCCCCAGGGGCGCCCCACCTCCCCGGCAGGAGCCCCAGCCGGACCCTGGCCGGGCCCCCCGGAGAAGCCGCCAGGAATGCCCAGTAGCCGCCCGGGCATCCACCCCCAAACCCCGAGCTCGAGCAGTGCACAGGCGCGAGCCCAGGGGGCAGCCAGCACAGGGAGAGCAGGACGGAGGAATGGGCTCCGCACTTGGAGACTTGAGATGTGCTTGGGAGAGGGGGCAGTTCAGACCCCACCCTGGGAGAGAGAGAAACCAAAAACAGTCTCAATCACGCCTTCCTATGGAAGCCCCCACTCACACCACACAGGGGGAAAAATGTGGACGCACATTGACACATAACACTCACATCCAATAATCCCAGGACCAAAGACCCGGCTGCACCGGTGGTCGGTCCCGGGATTATCGATCCGGAATGGGGGGGTGACACCACCACATCAACCCATTTTGTTCCTGCTTCAAGCCCGGCCCCTCGACCCCATTCCCGGACCAGACCACATCCAGCAAAAGCTCCCCCAGGACCAGGGCCCACATGCCCCGTGCAGGCCACCCAACCAGAACCCCCCCCCCCCTAACTTATTCACTAACTATTTTGTGCCAATCTTTACGGCAACTGCCTTAGAGTACCTGCTAGTCAGGATTGATGGTAGCTGACCTATTCAAACCTCCGAAGCGGTGCAAAGACAGCATGTCAGAAGTGTGTAAATATTTTACTCTACAGAGCTAAGGCTGTCCTAAAGCTACATGCTATGTCTGCATCGTGAATTTATAGAGGAGGTAGCATTTAACACCACAAACTTCATTCTTCATCTGAGCTTCTCTT